AGCGGCGGGGTCCGGGCCCGCCGTCCGCGCTAGGGCCGGCCGCGGCGGCCTGCCTCAGCCCTCTCACGGCCGCCGGTGCCGGAGGGGACCGTCCGTGGATCGGCAGCCCTGCTCAGGGGCCGATCCTTGGAGCCGTGTCCGCGTCAGTCTCTTTTGTGTCTTCTTTTTTAAAAAAAAAAACAATAAATAAATGACAGGGAGGCAGGAAGGCACGGGAATTACTTTTGCGAAACCCGGTCTTTCTTACAGAGAAACGCTGCAGCGAGCGTTTGTCCCAAGGTGAAGCCCACGCAGGCTCCTCTGAAGAGTTATTTAAAAACGAAAACCTACAAGTCATTAGTCCAAATACCTCTGGGTAATAGCTGCAAAATTAAAACGGCGCCTTGAGCCTTAAAATGGCTCCCACACCGCAGACATCAGCCTAACGTCCTTTCTCTCCGCGCCCTCGGTTCCAGGGCTGGGAGCGCACGCCGCGGGATGTAGCACAGAGGTTACCTGCTACATTCCTCTCCCTGCGCGCTATATGGACTCCTCCCGTTGCAAGTATGCGCTACGAGAAAGAGCACGTGGATCTTTCCTCACCGGAGCCTGCGGACTGCGCCTCCTGAACTTGGAAGTCCCAAGGTGGTATGAGCTGAAGTAAGTAGTCTTTAGGCCGTTTCAGAAGTTAATGCTAGGTTAGTCACTACTATAAGTAGTAGTTTAATGTGGTTATCAAACCCCGTCTTAGGCGGACTGCGGGAGTCATCTTTACTGGAACAAGTTTTGGCATAAGTTAAGCACTCATTAGGAAAGTCACCTCAAATCTCATCGCAAGAAAGCACGGTCTTTGACCAGTCTGGCTTGTACTAATTTTACAAGGCTATAATTCCTCTCTTTATGGATGTTCTTATGTACACAAATGTGAAATAAAGCATATTCCCCAATGTCATTATTCTTACCAGACCATACGCATACACCTTCCATACACCCATATATATATCAGAAAATCAAAGTATGAAAAGGCTTGCTACATCCAAACTAATAAATCAGCAGTTACATTCTAGCTTTAGATTCTAGCTATAATTTTACTATCTTACCACCACAAAAGGCACAGATTAAAAAGAGAGTTCTTGTCACAAGGATTGGTAATGTGCAAATATAATAGGAAGCGAGACAAATTTTAGTTCAGATATTACTCTGCAGCTTACAGTGTCTCGTGTCAGCTGGCCAGAAATCTTCACTTGAAAGAAGCCAGTAGGCTAGATTCACTCCTGCAAGTGTTAACAAATTGAAATGACAGTTTGCGCCCTTGGATGCTTGAGGGAGCGCAGCTGTCAGAAGACGAGGTCACCTGCCATGTCCTGGCATAGAAGTTGCCCCACTGCTTGCACTGTGTAAGCGTACTCCGCCAGCTATTTTGGAAGTGCCCTGGTTAGGCAAGGAAGACCGTCTCAGCTGCACCACCCTCCAGAAGTCTTCCTCGTCCCTGGAGCTGGAGTGGCCACCTACCTCTTGCAGTGAGCAGAGGTCGTAAGTGGCTCAGAAATGCTGTTCCCAATTCTGACTGCTTTCTCACCACTAGAGAACCCATTACTTCGCCTAATCCAGCATCTCTATATTTAAAAAGAAAAAAAACCCACATTATAGAACAACACGGAAATAAATGCACAGGCCTAGCAACATTGGGACAAACAGTGGTGAGCCCATTCAGGCCTCAGTGTTAAGTCGAGGACTTCCCAGTTGCTAACTGACTAACTTTCAGATAGGTTTTCTTAAGCCTTGACTAAAAGTTTTGCAACTTTTTGCCCTGAGTCAGGAAAAGAAAATTGCTTCACTGATTATTAGTGTTTACAGGTATACCAAATGCCTTCAATTCTTGCTGTATTTTAGCAGATAATAAGAATTGCCTGAAAAAATGTGTAACTGTCTGTAAATCAGATGCAAATCTAGAGAGGGCAGATGGTTCTGTAGATATATCCCCTCCGTGTTAGTACTACTGCAACTTATGTTGTATGTTATAAAGCCCAGCTTTAAGTACTAGGGTACGAATCCTGTTTCTTTTGTTTTACAAAGTCTGGTAGCAAAGGGCATAGAGTCCTTAATAATTAAAAAGTTTGTGAATACACAGTTTACTCTTGCTTTTGTTTGAAAGGTCATGGTTACAGAGATCATCAGTGTAGTCTGTGAATTCCTTTTTAGTGAGGGCTGACTTGGTTAGCACACAAAAGACTGGCTGTTCAGTTCCAGGAAAACTGTATTCACACAGGTCCTGTTCCCTTACGTGGAGATTAAGGAACAGGCTCGGTAGCTCAACAATTTAGTAGGTAATTAAAACCCACTATGGGCTAAATATCCAATAGACCAAAAGACAAGATGCACAAGTTTGTAAATACAGTCGTTTTAAAGAGGCTAATAGATTGGTTAGAGAATACAAAAATTTGGAAATAAATGATATATACAATCCAGCCAATCTCTAAAGATAATCATGGTCCATAACCACATAAAAAGACATATAGACACTTTGGGATGTTTTGCTCACTGACTTTTTTTTTTGTCAATAAATGACATTAAATAATCTTTTAGTATTAGAAGTAGTAGAATTAGCACCAATAAATCCTTGCAAATGCAGAGTATTGGTCTTATGTTAAAAGCACAGGGATTATTTTCCTGCCTGTGCTTCAGAGCAGTCTGACAATGTAAAAAAGAGCTTTTTTTGAAGACCAGCTTTGCAAAACTCGGGGCTGGTTTTTTACAGGAGACAGCGCCACATGCTGGTCTTGTGAGGTGAGAGCCACTAGGCGTTGTACTGATTTATGTCTGAGGAGTTGTTTCAATCGATTTGAAATTAAGATAACTGCGTTTTAAGTAATTACTTCTTATTCTAAAGGGAATTAGCAACATTAGGTTCTAGTTTCAGGTAAACAAATAAAGGAGATATTGTTACAGTTAAAAATATTTTTTTCATATAAACCACTGTATTCTAGCTCACCAATTTAGTTTATTATATTAAATCATCCTAATGTGCCATTCTTTACTCAATTCCCTTCAGCTTTAATTACGTTATGTCAAAAATGTTTATAACTCTGGATACAACATAATCTCCCAAACCCTCTCCAGGAACTCAACATGCTGGGGTGCCTCTCTGAAGTGCCTGCATACTAACAGAGGCAGTATGGGGAAAAAACACAATGAGTCGGGGATCTCTGTGAGGCTGCAGGGCTACAGTCTTGTTGGGGTCACGGAGACATGGTGAGATGGCTCCCATGACTGGAGTGTTGTAGTGGAAGAATATAGGCCCTTTAGAAAGGACAGGATGAGAAGAGGAGGAGGGGGACTTGCCCTTTACATGAGAGAGCAGCTGGAGTACATGGAGCTCTGCCTGCGGGCGGATGAGAAGCCAACTGAGCACTTAAGGCTTAGGATTAAAGAGAGGACAGGTAAAGGTGACATTATAGTGGGTGTCTGCTATCAACCACCTGACTGGGAAGAACAAGTGGATGAGGTCCTCGACAGACAGATGGGAGCAGCCTCATGTTCGCAGGCCCTGGTCCTCACGAGGGACTTCAACCAGCCTGACATTGGCTGGAGGGACCACACAGCAGGGGACAAGCAATCCAGGAGGTTCCTGAAGTGCTTTGTTGATAACTTCCTCCTCTGAGTGATAGAGGAGCCAACAAGGAGAGGTGATCTGCTGGACTTCATGCCAACACGGAGGGGCTCATTGGGGGTGTGAAGGTCAAAGGCAGCCTTGGCTGCAGTGACCATGAGATGGTGGAGTTCAGAATCCCGAGGGCAGGGAGGAGGGTGAAAAGCAAGCTCACAACCCCGGACTTGAGGAGAGCAGACTTTGGCTTCTTCAAAGATCTGCTTGGAAGGGTCCCATGAGATAAGGCTCTGGAGGAAGGGGGGGGCCAAGAAAGCTGGCTAATATTCAAGGATCACTTCCTCCAAGCTCAAGAGCAGTCCCTCCCAATGAATAGGAAGTCACGCAAAAATGCCAGGATGCCTGCGTGGATGAACAAGGAGCTCCTAGCAATACTCAGACATAGAAAGAAAGCATACAGAGGGTGGAAGCAAGGACCAGTAAACTGGGGGGAATACAGAAGCATTGTCTGAGCATTCAGGGATGAAGATAGGAAAGCTAAAGCTCGAATGGAATTGAATCTGGCCAGAGACATCAAGGACAAGAAGGGCTTCTGTAAGTACATTGGAGACAAAAGGAAGACTAGGGAAAATGTGGGCCCATTGCCCAATGAGACAGGGGACCTGGTTAACAGGACATGGAAAAGGCTGAGGTACTGATGGCCACCTTTGCCTCAGACATTACTAGCATGACCAGCCTTCAGGAATGCCAGATTCCAGAGTCCAGGGGGAAAGACTGGAGCAAGGAAGATGTACCCTTGTTGGAAGAGGATCACGTCAGTGAGTGTGTAGGCAAACTGGACATGAATAAGTCCATGGACCCTAATGGGATGCATCCACAAGTGCTGAGGGAGATAGCAGATGTCATTGCAAGGCTACTTTTTAATCTTTGATCATGGCCACTGAGAGAAGTGCCCAAAGACTGGAGGAAAGCCAATGTGACTCCTGTCTTCAGGAAGGGAAAGAAAGAGGAGCCGGGGAACTACAGGCGGGGCAGCCTCGCCTCCATCCCTGGGAAGGTGATGGAGCAGCAAATCCAGAAATAAATTTCCAGGCACATTAAGGACAAGAAAATCATCAGGAGTAGTCAGCATAGCTACACCAAGGGGAAGTCTTGCATGACCGACTTGATAACCTTCTGTGATAAAGTGACTGGCCTGGTAGACAAGGGGAAAGCTGTGGATGTTGTCTACCTGGACTTCAGTAGGGCCTTTGACAGTGTCTCCCGTATGATCCACATAGAGAAGCTATTGATGTGTGGGCTGGATGAGCAGACAGTGAGGTGGATTGAAAACTAGCTGAATGGCCTGGCCCAGAGGGTGGTGATCAGCAGTGCAAATTCTTGTTGGAGGCCAGTGACTAGCAGTGTGCCCCAGAGGTCAATACTGGGTCCAGTCCTGTTTAACTTCTTCATTAATGACCTGGTTGATGGAGCAGAGTGTACCCTTAGGAAGTCAGCTGATGACACAAAACTGGGAGGAGTGGCTGATGTGCCAAAAAGTCATGCTGCCATCCGGAGGGACCTCAACAGGCTGGAGAAATGGGCTGTAAAGGAGCCTCATGAAGTTCACCAAGGGGAAGCACAAAGTCTGCAGCTGCGGAGGAACAACCCTGTGTACGAATATATATGCTGGGAGCCACCCATCTGGAAAGCAGCTTTGCAGAAAAGGTCCTAGGGGACACTGAGTTGAACATGAGCCACCAATGTGCCCCTGCAGAAAAGAAGGCTAATGGTATCCTGGTCTGCATTAGGCATAGTATTGCCAGCAGATCGAGGTGATCCTTTCCCTCTTGTCAGTGCTGGTGAGGCCACAGCTGGAGTGCTGTGTCCAGTTCTGGGGCTCCTCAGTACAAGAGAGATGAGGACATACCGGAGAGAGTCCAGTGAAGGACCATGAAGATGCTGCAGGGACTGGAGAATCTCTCCTATGAGGAAAGGCTGAGAGCACTGAGATCATTTAGCCTACAGAAGAGAAGGCTGAGGGGGGAGATCTCATTAACATGTATAAATACCTGATGGGAGGATGTGAAGAAGATGGAGCCAGGCTCTTTTCAGTGGTGCCCAGGACCAGAGGCAATGGGCACAAATTGAAACTCAGGAGACTCCCTCTTGAGCATCAGGAAACAATTTTTTTTCCCATGAGAGTCACTGAGCACTGGCAGAGGTTGCCCAGAGAGGTTGTGGAGTCTTCCACCCTGGAGATACCCAAAGCTGTCTGGGCTTCGTCCTGGGCAACTGGCTGTAGGTGTCCCTGCTTGAGCAGGGGTGTTGAACCAGGTAACTTCCAGCAGTCTCTTCCAACCTCAACCATTCTGTGATTTGAACAACACAATAATCTGAACACACAAATATATTTTCAAGTGCATTTCCCAAATAAAAAAGAAGGCTGAATTGAAAATCATGACCTTAAATGTTTACCTTGAAAACTAATTGCATGCCATAGTCTTCATTGAAGTCTGCAGGTATTTTTTCAGAAGTGCTTATTTAATGCAGCAGTGCAAATTATTTTTTAACTATATGGGCTTTTTGAAGAGTGGTAGGCTATTTGTTTTGATAATGAATTCATGGCCAGGGATTAAAGAGATTATTACATATCCCACCTACACTGCATGTTTAGTTCACTAGTATTCAGGACATATATGAGGAAGGTAATACATATGAGATGATATACAATAATTTAGATATAATATTAGGTATATTTTTAATCTATTTTAACTGTACTTATAGAATTACGAAGGTTTGGGAGAAGGCTGGCTTACCCGTGATTTCTTGATTGTGATTTCTTGCTAGCAGCAGTTTACCAAAGAAACTGCACTAACTAGAACTCTGCTAGATCCTGGTCTTTAATTTTCTGTCTGAGCTTCGAATCCAGCCTGTGTCTGCTGTAGATTGCTGCTGCTGCTGCTCAAGGGAAGCTGAAAGTATTTACCATGGCAAATGAAGTGATC